TTGTTTGATAGAGAGCAAATGAAATAGAGAGATAAAATAGAGAGTGTGTGATGGAGCGAGACGACGATCTGAGAGATAAATAATAAGAGAAATAAAAAAGGAAGATTATGAGAAAGGTGATGAGAGACGGAATAAAAAAGAAAGAGAGCAAAGGCGTGAGAGAGAGGTGGTAAGAGAAAGAGAGATATAAAAGGAGAGAGACGGGAAGAGGGGTGAGAGCTAAGTGGATCTGAATGCCTGTTCGGCGTTCAAAACGGCTTTGTGTTTAATTTTGTCATAAATGTCAACCTTTTGACAATCATTATATTGAAATAAAGCTAATCCAAACTTGGTAAGTCAATATATTTACCTCTTAGTTTAAAGACTGTAAAACTGAAGTATTTAATGTGACAAACTAAAAGATAGAAACTTTTTGTTTATTCTAACACAATCTGTGTGTGCGAGAGCGAGCGTTGAAATCTGTGTACAGTTTTTATTGTGATTTAAATCCTTATGGAAATATGTCAATCTCAATTCAACTTAACATTCCAATGCTTTTTTTTTTTTTTTAAATCTCCTATTTAAAAAAAAGAAGCTAAGTTTTGTTCAACGCCATTGAATTATCTTTCATTAATAAATCGTGTATATTTCAAACAGTTTATTTGTTTTCGTTGATATTTATCACATATCTTATAAACTTCCACTTTGCTTGAAAGGTGTCTGTCTCGTGAAAAGTTCAGTGTGGCTTACATGAATGCAGTGCTGTTGCGTGACTTTTGGAGGTCCTTTGCAACTTTTGGAGGCCCTCTGCAACTTTTGGAGGCCCTCTGCAACTTTTCGTTTTTGCGGCCCATGCATTTGTAGCTGATGGTTTAAACGTTTCCTTCATCACATTGTTGGGTCCCATAAGTATCTGACCCCCCCCCCCTCCCCGCTGCAGCTGAATGGACTACATGACCCACTTGAAGGCTCTGTATGATAGCCTTTCCCCCCCCCCCAACTTCTTCAAGAGCGAAGATTTGGTACACAGCCTTGCCTTGTGACAAAACGTTACTTTTTGAGGTGTGTAAAAATTTTAATATATCGCAAAATTTATAATATTATATTTAAATTATTAACATTTATTCAAAACATTATTTTTTTCTTTAACTAAATAGAGACGCCCTGAGCTACATGGCTTTATGAAGGATACATTAATTTTCTAGGATCTCCACCTGCGAGTACACCTACAAGCATAAGTCGAGTTAATAAAGATAGAAACATGTTTTTTCAAGTATCGAAACTTAGTTCCCACACCTTTAAGGACTTGATGTCAAGTATACAAATCTTTTATATATTTTTTAAATAAAACGTTTCACCTGTTGCTTTAAAAAGACTTTGCCTCTACCCGCAGTTCCATCTAGTGAGGAATTTTTTTTTTTTTTTTTTTTTTTTTTTTTTTTTTTTTTTTTTTTTTTTGCTTCTTCACACAAGGGACACTTTCCTAAGGTCGACTGAGTCTTCCTTGTGCTGAACTGAAAGGTCTCCTGAGTTGATGACACGAGAGTTACAGCTCCAGTATCCTGGGTAGAGAGGTGATGATGGGGAATGGGTCCAGGTTGTGGTTGGGGTTGAAGCTTGATAAGGAAATAATAACAGATATTATATCGTTTTATCCCTGGGTAAAGGACTAAGTCATTATAGCCAGGGCTTTGCATTTGTTGTTTTTAAAAAAAAAATTCTTTGTGGATAATTTACAGCTTAAACTTTTGATTTCTTTGTGGATAATTTACAGCTTAAACTTTTCATACTAAAAATTTGAAAATAAAAATAAATTTTGAATAAATAATAAAATTATTTCTTTTGAAGACGAGTTTAAGCGCACTAAGATGTAATAGGGGTGGGGAGGGGCGTGTGTGGTTGGCTCTTTAAATTTCTTTTAATTCATTACCCAAAGAAAGTCTGCGCATAAAAAATTTCAAAAATTAGAAGAAGAAAAAAGTTTCTTCTCCCTTTAATTGGAATATTTGCATTACTTCCCTTCTCCGCGTACCTTCTTTGCGTAATGAATTTTAAGCAACTTTAAGAAACATTTATTTTAAGTTTTAGTGCGCTTAAACTCGTCTTCGTAAGAAATTCTTTTTTCTATTTAATTTTAAAAAGACTTTTTTATAACTTCTTTTGACCAGAGATGCACGTGTGAGTTGTGAAACACAGAGCATGCTAACTGGCACATTCGTAAACATGGTTGTGAATGTTGAATGATAGAAATGTAAAGAATTAGGTAATACTTGTGTGCGTTCATTATTGGGAATTATGCTTTTATGTATTGGTTTAGGCCAGCGGTTCTCAAACTGTGGGTCGCGACCACTTGCGGGTTTCCAACGACCCTTACAAAGGGGTCGCCTATGACCATCAGAAAACACATATTTATGAAGTAGCAATGAAAATAATTTTGTGGTTGTGGGTCACAACAACATGAGGAACTGTATTAAAGGGCCGCGAAATTAGGAATGCTTCAACCCTGGTTTAGGTGGACAAGAGAGATGAAGGAATAACTCATATAATTTTAGCTTCGAATATTCCTTCGTGATTTTCTCCCCTTTATATTTTAACTTTTTTTTTTTTTTTTTCAAATTAAAAAAATAAATAAATAAAATAAATAAAGGAAACTATTTATTACACTTTACGACTGCAGATTTATCGATGAATCGTAGAGTAAATATTCATTAGTGATTTTCTCCCCTTTATATTTTAACTTTTTTTTTTTTTTTTTCAAATTAAAAAAATAAATAAATAAAATAAATAAAGGAAACTATTTATTACACTTTACGACTGCAGATTTATCGATGAGTCGTAGAGTGTGCACTTCTTAAAATATTTTTAAAATAATAACAGGTGGCTCTTTACGCTTATTTGAACTATTGAAAAGAAGTTTTTGACTGGAAGAACTGGCATAACAATGGCAGCTGATCAACGTTTCTTGGCATTCATTCTGTGGAACACTGGTGGTTCGGAACTCATTCATTACCACGGAGTTTTAAAAAAAATTAATAAACTGCATTCTTTTAGACCATCAATTATATCGAGAAACCATTTCATAAACTGTCAGATAGAAGACGCCTTGACATGACACAATTAGCCCCTCCAATAAAAATATAATGAACATTTTTGGCATTTTTTAAACTTCCCAATACCAATCAGCATTGCATCGTTAACCTACTCGACCAACCGGGTCTCCGGATGCATGCATTTCCCGTGGTCCGAAATGCGTTTCTTCCACCTTACACAATCTCAGGGACAAATCCATCAAAACATTTCACAACACCCTTGATCATTACCGACATGTCACCATTTATCACAAACAACGTCACATTACTGCAATGACGATGGTTAAAATACTGTTTTGGCGCCCACGATGTTTTCGCCTTGGCGGCTGCCGCCCCACCCCCTCCCCCTCACCCACCCTGATAACAGCCATTGATTTGCTTTAATTATGAAGACCGGCTTGATAACACACGCATCACGTGATTATCGATTAGTTCTCGGGTGATTGAGTCCGAACTACAACGGCAATCTGACTGATTGGGGAAATCGATGATTATTCTTTAAACAGTGATAGACGTTCAACTGTGTTTTTTTAAGGTCAGTTTAAGTTTAGATTTTTTTAAACTGTCATCATGTAATAAGTTTTCTTACATAGTTCACTCCTGAATTCTATGCGTTATATTAAAGGCTTAAACTCATTCAAACATTCGATATTGTCATATTAAACTAGCTACGGGCGTTTTTTTTAATTTATTATTAACATTTTTTAGACCTCCTTGTTTATTGCTTGTTTATAAAAATACCAGTTTTGTGTGAGCTATTATATACTTAACATACGTCCAGCCATGCATTCTATAAAATACAAAACCTAGGCTTATTGAACAATTTCTAAATTATCGTATAATTTGAAATTGTCAGGCATTCTATACAATCCCTGGTCATTGTATAGAATGCCTGATCATTGTGTAGAATGCCTGATCATTGTGTAGAATGCCTGATCATTGTGTAGAATGCCTGATCATTGTGTAGAATCCCTGATCATTGTGTAGAATGCCTGATCATTGTGTAGAATGCCTTATCATTGTGTAGAATGCCTGATCATTGTGTAGAATGCCTGATCATTGTGTAGAATGCCTGATCATTGTATGGAATCCCTGGCTTATACACTTTGCCGGTGTAAAGTTCAATAGGCAGGCTGCAGAGTTTGTCGTGGAATCCTCAGACACGCAGACAGCGGGAAAGAAATTGGAAAAGATTGAGAAAGAAACTGTAAGGTGGGAAATGAAATGGAGAGAATAGCTCAGAATGTAAAATGAGTGGGGAAAAAATTTGCTGAGTACCTACGAATCACTATAATCAAATAAGGCAAAGCTAAAGACAAATAGATATAAACATATTTACTAACGAATATATTCCTCCTAAACTTATGTTGTATTTTTTAATGCGTAATGCCCCAGCAGCTTATGCTATGACTGATCTCCATTCAACGAACAGATCAGCTGTTGATAATGTTCAGCAATCACTGCATTGAATAGCCGCAATCGATAATTGAGCTAATAGAGCTATGTTCAGTGCTATGTTCAGTGCTTATTGTTATGAACCCAGCAAGGTGTGACGTGATCATGGTTAAGTCCCTGTTACTCTATCAGCACAGAGTGGAGCAACGGTGTGGCATCGATTATTTTTTTTAATGTGCTTTGTTGTCTTGAGGGTTTATTTTTCATTTTTAAGAAATAACACTCAGTTGTCGTGTTACTCAAGTTTGGATTTAAAAAAATATATATTTTTTTTAGGCCAAGAGACATCAATTAAATACACATGTTTCTTAAGTTAGTTTTGACATTTCTCATCCCAAAAGAAAAAAAGACTAATCAATTTCATTTAATTTTTTTTAAATACGTTTCAGTTTTTTAACCATTTTTTATTGTATCCTTTGTAAGGATGAATCAAAATCTCCACACGACGCTCAATACAATAGTACGCATATGAGCTAGATATACGTGTAGGTATCTTTGTATCCTGTCCATTACGTGGAGAGACCCGTTGTTGAACCCATACAATCTCGAAGATGTCTCTGAATGTTGAGGTCGGTGGGACGTCCGTGTCCCCGCTGCCTGCACTTGACAGCATAGACACCGGGTCGAGTCGTAACATCAACATGAAGCAGTTCCTGTGTGTCAAGCACGCGCTGCCCAAGACGAGGGTGACCAACACCATACTGTACGAGAACTCGAGTCAGAGCAGACATCTCGAAATGAAGGTAACGGAATCAAAACCTCCTTCTTTTCATAAGTCGATGGCAAATTAAAATATTTAACTTCAACTTTGGCTGGCAGACAGTTGTGAAATAAATCATATATGACCTGTTGTTTGGTTGTTTTTTTTTGTGAGTCCTTTTTCTTTTGTTTCTTTTCTTTTTTTTTTTTGCAAAGATGTTATACTGTACCTTATTTTTTTTTAAGTCATTAATTTTAATTGCTAATCACTCAACCCGTAAGTACCTTAACTGTTCAGGGCAGAAATTTCGTATCGCAGCAAGCAAGACAGTTGTGAAATAAATCATATATGACATGTTGTTTGGTTGTTTTTTTTTGTGAGTCCTTTTTCTTTTGTTTCTTTTCTTTTTTTTTTTTGCAAAGATGTTATACTGTACCTTATTTTTTTTTAAGTCATTAATTTCAATAGCTAATCACTCAACCCGTAAGTACCTTAACTGTGCAGGGCAGAAATTTCGTATCGCAGCAAGCTCCACGCTTTGCAGGTGAAAACAGACCCAAAACAATGTTATAAGAAATAGAATGATATATTCTTTTAAAATTTCATTGAATACTGTGTTGAGTACGTTTAAAGACGTTAACCTATGTTGGCTTTACCTTGTGATTTTGCGACTGATCACGTTTCAGACATGATGTGTGCATTTAAAAAAAAAAAAAAGATTTCTCAACGGATTTGAGAAATATAACTTAAACATATGAACTCATAATTATATACTGGACGTTTGAACAGTTGGCCTCGTTGGATCACCAGAAAGAGCAAGCCCTGGACGCCATGGACATCAACAAGCGCACGTTCATCAGGCAGCAGGAGAGGAAACGCCGGAAATGGATGAGGGAAGACCAGACGCGTCTGTCTGGCTTAAACCTCCCGACCCTACCCCCATCTGTAGTGGAGAGAAGGCCAAGTGTGCAAGTCATCTGCCAGTGTAGACTAGAGAAGGTACGCTTTACCATCAAAGGTGTAGATTAGAAAAGGTAGGTTTTACAATCAAAGGTTTAGATTAAATTGTATTTTAGCATGCTTACAGCACTCTGGTGTCCTAAAATCTATTTAAAGAAAAAAGTCTTTAAATGTTTCTTAAATGACTTTTCATTTATCATGTTCAACAATTTTTATTTTTTTCCCCTCAAAATTGAGCCAGACTGTTCGCCAATTTAGGCTTCATAGGTGCGCACTCCGTATGACTTCATTCTTAGTTCAACATTAGTTCGGAGTTAAGGTTACGAACTGTTGAGTAAGATAAACGCATGTGTATTAAGATACTGGCGTCTCTTCAAGTTTTTGCCCCAAAGGGCTACACATCAATGTATGGCACTACGTGTGACCAAATTGACGGTAACTGCAATTTAATTGACTCGTTTCCTCTGACAGGACTCAACGAGTGCCAGCCCCAGACGCCAGCCCATCCTCCCGATGATGAAGATACACAAGGAGCGGACTGAAATCGTCCTGCACCGCAATCGGACGTTTCTCACGCGACTCCCCTCGTCCGTTGAGATCGACCTCGACGCACAGCAGCTCTTCGACGCCTACAGGGGCGCCTCGTTTCTCGTGCGGGGGCTCCCGTGCAAGGACGATCGGTTCCTGGGACTTCACACGCTGCTGCAGCAACGCCCACGGAAGACAAAGGACAAACTCTGGGGGAATACTTTATTTTAGTGTTGTTTTCTTGTTTATTTGTTTTCTTGTTTGTTTGTTTTTGTTGTTGTTTTTTTTTTTGTGTTTTTTTTTTAAGAAAGATACTTTAAAAATGAGCTTCTCGAGACAGTTGCCAAAAGTTTACACAGACCAGGCCATTGACGCATATCTGTAATGTTGTGTTTTGATTTTTTTAATTTTTTTTTTTTGAATTAAATTGCTGGACTATGATTAAGTTATTTTTTTTTTAAAATCGTCTTCTTGAAGGTTGTGGTTGGGTCAAAATGTGGGCACAGGCACACAATTCGAAAATCTTGTATAACTTGTAATCGTTACATTAAATTGGTGAAATAAATGTCTACTTCTTTTTTTAATGTTAGCTTTTTTTTTTTTTTAAATTTAAAATAGAGCCGTCTCAAATCAAATAATCAAAAAAGTAGAGCATCGTTTTTTTTTTTTTACAAACAGAAAATATGATGGAAATGTTCAGCCGATGTCCTTCCAAGCTCAGCAGGTGCACGAAGGAAACTGGATGCCTATTTTTAAGGCTGACGGAAAAGCTTATCACAGAAATGGAAATGTGCTGCATTCATCTCAACAAAATCCCTTAATTTTAAAAATATTTTGGGGGGGGGGGGGGAAAGGATGTAAGGGAGGGGGTTTTTTTTTTTATTGGTTTTTTCCGTTTTTTTTTTTTTTTTT